CTGACACCCTGTGGGGGAGTGTTATTATAGAAGAAATTAGGGCAGTGGGAGAAGTCCTTGCCGATCTCGCCAACAACCAGGCTACAAAGAAGAAGTAGAAACAGAGCTCTGATGGAGGGTTGGAGCAAATTCCTTTGAGACATCTTCTGTAACAGATGAGCAGGTCAGCTGTAGATCAGAAACAGATTCTAGTAAGCAGACGAATCCCCAGAGTAAAATAATCCACAGTTGTTGTTTGTTAGTTCTGCATCTGCAATCTAACGCTGAGGTTTCCTCATTTATACCAAGAGCGTGGTAACAGTTCTTACCCACCCACATCGACGTTTACAATCAAACTTCCCCTGCTAACGAGCAGTCAGGCTCCCTTCTGAGAATCAAGTTTGCGTCACAGATTTTTAAAAAAAATCTTGGATTCTTTTCAAATTTTAATCATTTGGAAATTTCGTCAAGGTAAATGGATAAATTTGGACCTACACACTTGTAGGAACACCTTGAGTTCTACAAATCCTGGGATTTTATTTGTCACACTATGTCAGTCTGATGACACACAACATGCACTGATGATATTAGTTTTAAAAAGAGCAAAAAACGTGTGGTAAAGTCACAGGAACAGACATTGCCTTCCCTGTTTGTTGTCTCGTACAAGTTGATTTTTTATCTTGAGTACACTTAGTCCAGAATTTTTAATAGCCAGGAGAATCTCCCTTATTATACTTTGTACCTAAAAAAGAGAAACATCATGGAAAACTTTGAGATGTGTGTCTCGTTTAAGGCAGAGCGGTGTGACATGCGATGCTTTTCATAATGAAAATCAAACACTCGTTTCTGTTACCACTGTCCTAAACCAGCTCCAGCACATGTTTAATGCAGCATCAGGTGTTTATTGACAGTCATTTGACAAATTATGTATTTATGTAATCACATGCTGTCAAATATTTCTGTTTCTCTTTCTGTCTCATTGGTTTCGGTGTAATGCAGTTTTTCCTTCTGTCATCAAAACTCCGCTTGATGTCAGAACCAGTAGGATTCTGAAAGACAAAAAAAGCTCCTCGCAGAGCTTCCCCGATTTCTCAATTGCCAAAATAGCAAATGTTTACTAGCAGTATGTGGCTTCTTTATTTTGTTATGTGCTCAATTTGGGGAAATTCTCCATTTTAGTCAGTTTTTAATCAAACAAATTATGATTCACTACATTTAGGGATTGTCAGAATGCAGAAAAAGCAAAAAATATGAAAGAAACCATGATCACAGCAGAAAACTACAGATTAGATATTTTTCACACATCTAAATGAAACACATCCTGATACTTATGTGTGAAAGGAAAGTTTGTTTTCTACAAGCTACTGGTTCTGTGTTGTAGTAATGGTTTTCCAGTATCTCACATCACTGGAGGAATTGTGGTTCACTCTTCTTTACAGCGTTGGTTGCAAAGAAGACAGCTTGTGTCCATCTGTTTAATCATGGACATCAATTTAAGGTCTGAAATTTCTCTGGGACATTGCAATATCTTGATGGTTTTGTTTTTCTGCCATTCTGTTGTAGATTTGCTGCTATGCTTGGGATCATTGTTTTATTGCACGGCCCAGTCATCACAATAATGGGTGCTTCCATGTTCTTTTAGAGCAAAGAGGCTTTCTCCTGATAGTCCTTCCAAACAAGACAAACTTGTTTATTCTTCTTCTAATGGTCATGACCTTTAAAATTTAACATGCTAACTGAGGCCTGTAGAGTCTGAGAGCTTTTGGGGTTTCAGCAGTTTTGCATTGTTGCGAATTTTTGGAGTGAATTTGCTGGAATTTCCAATCTTGGGAAGATTATGGCATTGTGTTAACCAACATCTGAATGCTCTAAACCTCTGCTTTTATAGAGCCGGTCATACTTGCATTTGATTAGCAGTGCCTGACTACTTCACTTTAAAAGTAGAATGGGAGGCAGAACCTTCAGCTTCCTGGCCCTCTTCTGTGGAGCCAGCTCCCAGTTTGTATTCAGGAGGCAGACCCCTCTCTACGTTTAAGATTAGTCTTAAAACGTTTCTTTTTGATATAGCAGATAGATAGTTAGATTCTTCCCACTGTCGCCAACTGTTTGTGTGATTTGGTGCTATATAAATAAATTGAAATAATTAAATTACTTCTTACCCACTTAATTCCAGTAGTAAGGACGTATTTAATTTTTCACAGTACTGCACAGGTGAAAATATATTTACATAATAACTGAAACTGACTAAATGTATACATATTTAAGATTATACATATTGGATACATATTACCTCTGGTTTTAGTAAGCCTGACCGCATATTACTTGGTATTATTCAGCCATCAAACCTCATGGAATTACTCTCTCACTATCTACAGCATTTGTGGGCATTGGGAAAATGTCATATTTACTGGTTTCAGTTTTCTATGATTTATAGGATTTTAAATGTGTGAAACACACTGCCTCTACATCTAGCCACGATTGATCTGTTTCTACAGAAATGCAGGATGTTACGGTGTAGTGAAAAATTAACACAGAACGCACACAAATGCAGAACAAAAACTATAAATGCCATATTTACTTTCACAGTGTTTATGGAGAAGTATACAAGTACAAGGACCGGTGTCTTTGTGGATCTAAAGAAAGCACATGACAGGGAGCTTAGAGCGGAACTGTGGGACTGCAAGAGGAAGTCAGGAGTGGCAGAGAAGTATGCGAGGCTGGTGTAGGACATGTATGAGGACAGCGAGACAGCGGTGAGGTGTGAGGTAGGAGTGAAATGTGGGGATGGCATTACATCAGGGAACTGACCTTCCTACTTAAGATGGTGATGGACAGGCTGACAGATGAAGTCTGGAGTCTCCTTTGACAACGGGTGTAGGGAGCAGGTGGAAGAGAGCCTAGGTGGAGGTATGCTCTAGGTGAAGAAAGGAGTGCAGGTAGGGTGGAGTGGGCTTCAGGTGTGATTTGTGGCATGATAGAAGAAAGAATGAAAGGGAGGATTTACAAGAAGGTAGGAAGACGTGCTATGATGTATGCTTTGAAGACTGTGGGACTAACAAAAAGACAGGTGGCAGATTTAAAGATGTTAAGATTTTCTATGGATTAGAAAGGAGGGCATGCAGAGGACTGTTGTAGCAGATGGGGATGCTAGTGACAGGGTGAGATAATCTACTGTAGCGACCCCTAAAGGGAGAAGTGGAAAGAAGAAGAAGACTCACAAGCTGTTTGAGTTTTTGGGCACACAAAAGTTTAGACGTAATCTCACCTCTCTGAGAAACCCCTAAATAATCTTAGAAATGAGACCATTTGTTGAGAAAATGTTTTTAATATTCATGAGAAAACCACCAGAATGGAAAACTTGTTATAATATTTATTATATCGCCTCCCTCCCAAAATATTCTGATAACTAATTTGTGAAATGGATACAGTTTACAACAAGCTGGTCTCAAATTTAGCGTCTGGAGGAAAAAATCCAGGAGAAAAGGAGCAAATACTGCATCAGTCCTTATCTTAAAAATGCACCTGGTAGACTGATCATCGGGGCCATCTACTGAGCACTCAGAGGAACAACAGCAGGTGGCAGGATGACCTACATGACCCTGACATTAATCATGCAAAGTGTATAAAATTGACTGAGACTAATAAGACTTTATTTGTATTAGCGTGTAATCCATGGACAGGCAGGGATATAATTTTAATTGAAGAACGCTGGCAAGAGTGTTTTTTTTTCTTGGTGTCAGCTACTTTCCCTTCCCTTCTTCCTTGCTCTGTGTCATGCTTTGCTGACTGGAAGGCTGTGTGTGTGTGTGTGTGTGTGTGTGTGTGTGTGTGTGTGTGTGTGTGTGTGTGTGTGTGTGTGTGTGTGTGTGTTCTTGGGGATAACCTGGGGAGACAAGTTTAATTTAAATCCCAATTAAAGGCCAAATTGAAGAGCCCTTATACGTGTACGCTAATGCTCTCTTACATGAGTATTAACACACATTTATTCAGTGCTGTCTATATTAAGTAGCTGCGCCTCTACAGTGTAATGCAGTCAAATCCATAAATGCCATGAATGGGACTTGATTACACCGTCACTGTGAAAACATGTAGGGTAAAACCTGTGATGTATATGTGATGAAGGAAACTCAAATGCATTTCAATGCTTCAAAACTTAGTTTCAATCTTCAAAAGCCATTAAATGCTTTTGATTCTGTCTGAGATGGGTGTTGTTCCAAAAAGCGATCATCTGATTTCTAATGTCTCTGTATGTTTCCATGTTTAATGTCTTTACTTATATTTGTAAATAGACTGTGATCAATAGGATTTAAGAAGAGATTATACATAAAATATAGAAATTAGTAAAAGTATTTCTGCGTTATTGTAGCTACATTGTAATGAATCCAGCCCCTTTTGGCCACTTAAAACATCTTTATAGAGCTATGATGTCATAATTGTTGCAATTTATGCTGCCTTCTTGGCAAGACCTTTAAAAAACCCTACATTTTTAATGTCAATAAAAACTTTTTCGGTGGATAAATAAAGGATAAATGAAAGCAACTATGGCAAACACTAATTGCAGATTTTACTTTATGACAGGAATTATGTTTCTGTCTCAAAATGACTTGATATGCTCAAAAAGAGATAGGTTTGCCATATGTTTGTATGAGTTTATAGGCCAACAACTTATTCAGAGCTGTTTATATACGGGCAATCGTTTTTTGGAAAATACGGGAAATCACTTTTTTGTTTGTGTCGTTTACCCTACTACACAGAGGTTTCCGCTCACACGTTTCTGATTTATTTCCTGTAAGTGTTTAATAATTTAAAAACTTATAAACCAACAAGTAAGACAATTGGTACAACCCCCTTTTAAAAATTCCGCGTATATTTCCTCGCAGCAATAACGTGACCTTTCTTGTTACTGTTCTCTTCCTTCTAAGAAACCCTCTTTCGCTCAGGGCAATCATAAACACACTGCGCCCTTTAAAGGAGCCCTTCATCACGCCCAGCCGAGCGTGTTTCTACACGCCTTTGGTCGCTTCCGTGAAAAAAGTCGTACTGCTGTCAGCGTCAGACCACTCCCTCTCTGAATGTGAACGGAAGAGCAGTTTAGTCTTCTTTCCCTGTCACAGTGTTTCCCACAGACGTGTCTTCTGAGAAGTATGAGCGCAGTAAATGATGGCGGAGGCCAGCGCGCTTGAAGAGCTACAGTCGGAGCTCACCTGCCCGGTGTGTTTGGAACTCTTCCGTGATCCCGTGATCCTTGAGTGCGGGCACCACTTCTGCCAGGTGTGCATCATCCAGTGCTGGGAAGCTAAGGCGGACGAACTCTCGAGTTGCCCGAAGTGTAGAAAGTCGTGCGCCCGGAAACTGCGACCCAACTCGCTCCTGTGCAACGTGGTGGATAGTGTGCGCAGAGCCCGCGCCATGGACGCGGCCGCGGGGATGTGCGTGTGGGACCACGAAGGTACGCTGGAGATGCCCGAGGACCGCGAGCGGGGTTCCAGCATGAGCAGCGTGGCCTCGTCCATCGGGCACTGGCCACGCCTGGGAATGGGTTTGGATATGTGCGAGGAGCACGAGGAGAAGCTGAAGCTCTACTGTGAGGATGACCAGCTTCCCATCTGCCTAGTGTGCGGGATGTCTCGAGACCACAAGAACCACAATGTCATCCCCATTACAGAGGCTTTTGAAAGCTACAGGGTACTGTTTTGTTATTGGCTCGTTTTTAAGGCTCCCGGTCTTCCAAAAACTTAAATCAGGCATACACAGACATGGTATTGAGATTTGACCAACATAATCACCAAATTTGATTTATTTTTCTACTGTATTTTTTTTCCTCTATAGTGTAACAGCTGGAGCTTCTAGATAAAACAAGCAATCAGAGTTTCAAGGAGTGCCATACTTTACAATGCTTATTGGACACTCCTCTTATTGTACTACATTACTGTAAGTTTCACAAGTATTCCTATAAGTCAAGTCAAAACTACTTTTTTACTACAAAACTCAACTGCTCTAATGTAGCAAGCAGGCTTTTCATATATGTAGCAGTTGTGCTTTAAAGAGCACACTCCCTGTCTGCCCCAGGAGCCTTTGGGTATTTTTGTGCATTACAGGAATTCAGCAGGCCTGTGTGAGCTTTACTACCTTTCAAACCTGGCAGCTGACCTTCATCATGTTGTTTGGAGACCCGCTCTGAGAGGCCTCTCTGTGTGTCTTAACATGTTTAAGCAGTGCTAAATTCCAGCTTTGTTAGATTTTTGGGGTCAGGGCGCTCAGTTGAGGATTGGCGGATGTATGACTCCCATTAAAGACGGGACGTTGTTCGGACTGACGCACAAATCAAATTAACTGTTGATTGAAGCGTAATCTGGTTTATATAACCTCTTCTCAACAAACGTTTTTATGTGATTATCTGTTTGTCCTGCAGGGTAAGCTGTCTGTGGTTCTGGAGAGGGTTCAGGTGCAGACACAGGAGGCCACACTCTTCCAAAAACAGACCAATGAAAAGATCCTCCTCATTAAGGTATCACGTCTCTGTGTGTGCTGGCTGTTTCTTTGTGAAGCACTGTGAAAGAAAAACACTCCAGTGTGTTTGTCCTCTAAATATAACCAGAAATTCTAGCGGCCAGGCAACATTCTGACGCATTCCTCCACCTTTACCTGTCAAGACAGAGGGATGACTGGTGGTACTAATGACTGGTGCTGACACACCATGTTCTTACTCATCTTTTATTTAGACGTGATGATTATCAGGAGCTCATCCTGGACTAAAAAGGGAGGTTCATGAACATTCATACACATCATTTTGTGTTTATCTTCGTCATGCGCTCTTCTTTCACAGGCTGTGCATGTGCCCTAACTGCTTCATGTCACACAGCTTGCGAGGGAACTCAGCTGATAGAGTTTCGACAGGCACAGGAAGAAGTTCACTGAAACGCTCGCTGTGTGTGTGTTAAACACACATATCGTTAGCTTCATAGCATAAGTGCCTAAGTCATTGGACTAAGTCAATGACTTAGGCACTTATGCTATGAAGCTAACGATATGAGGGTAGTGTTAGAGAATGCACTGGAGCATTTCGGCCGTGGCAGATAACTTCGTCTAGCTCTGCTCCAGGTTATCACAGACCGTTTCCTTTCCTATCTGTGTGTTTAAATGTGTCAGTGGGTGTATTTTCCTGTCTGTCTGTTTGACCCAGTTTACATGCAGATTCACAGATTTTTTTTTCTTCACTTCTCCCTTTCTCTGTCAGTATGACAGGATGTGGTTGAGCAGAGGAAGTTTGTCAATTTTTCTTCTCTGTGTTAAAAATACAGACATCTATCTATCTATCTAGCTATCTATCTAGCTATCTATCTAGCTATCTATCTAGCTATCTATCTAGCTATCTATCTATCTATCTATCTAGCTAGCTAGCTAGCAAAAACTTTTATATCTCAGTAAGATATAATAATTTGTGCCACATATGACATAAAATGTATCGTCTCCTCATAACAAATACTGATTTTTCCTATTTAATGAACCACTTCTGGTCTGAATGGTCACAGTTTAAAGTTGTTGATTTAATCTGTTGAACATAAGATTGTAGTCATATTTCCAGAGAAGAAAAAAAAACTGTATTTTTATTCAATAATAACAGTAAAATAGGACACTTCCGGTTTTAGTGTCACACCATTGCTGTCAATGAGAATTAAGTGTGTCCTCATTTTCACTGACACGCAACAGTTAAAAAAAATATATATATACTTGTTAAATAATAATAACTCTCTAATAATAAACCCTATTAAAACAACAGTATGTAACAGAAATTTCAATTGTGACAAAATAAAACTGAACCCCACCGTTTGTCACAGCATAGCTCGGTATTTTTCCACCCCAGGAAGAGCTTAAAAAGACTCAGAGATCGTTATCATACAAACTCTAAAGCAGTTAAGCATTTTGAAGACAGACTTGGTTTCTGTCAGCTTTAAGGGGCATTTTTGAGTCGTGCTATTGCTTTAACCTCCTAAGACCCGAACTGTTTCATGGCATGCATTTTTAATTTCTTTTTGCTATTTGGGGGACGCGATTAAAAAACAAAGAGTTATCTTTTTATCTGATTTTGGTCTACAAGGGCCAGAGATCCACATATGGGGACATTCGTTTTAAATTTCGATAAAACAGTGGCAGTATAATGTCCTCGTAAGAGACATCAGGCCCTTGTAGAGCAAAATGTAGTATTGTGGTCTAGACAACCCAAAATTGGATGTCCACATATGTGGACGCCAGGTTAGAGGAGGTTAAAAAAGAAAAAAAGTTGTACAAATCAGCTGTGCTTTACCTACTGACTGGCAAAGTTCTTGCTCTCTGTGACCAAATTCCTCGCTGCATTTCAGGAGCGAGCGGGAGATTTGGAGGAGCTGGTCTCTGCAGAGTTTGGCCGTATGAGGGAGTTCCTCGTTGAGGAGGAGGAGCGCATAAAGGAAAAACTGCAGAAGCAGAAGGAGGAGAAGCTTCAGCAGCTGGAGGAGGCGCTCACTCAGTCCACGGAGCAGATCAGCCAACTGGAGATTACAGCCGATAAACTTCGGCTCAAACTTAGAGAAGAAGAAAATCCTGAGCAACTCAAGGTGAGAGAAGAAGAGACGGGGCAGAGGAGAAGGATTTATGGACGAGCTACATATTTCTCATAATCTTTCAGTATACTTTGCTAATAACTGGAGCACATATAAAAGAATACTGAATAAAGAATGAATGGAAGTCCCATGTTTGTAATCACAGGCCTGTTTTTATCTGTTTCAGGGGATCAAAGATTTTATTGGAGGGTGAGTACTACTGTAATCTTATCCAAGAAGTTCTGTCAGAGCTAATCAAATATCTAGGCCATCTTCTCATTTATCTCATCATGACTTTTGTCCAAAAGTCACAAGGCAATCATGTCCGTTTTGAGTTGTTTTCGAACAGAATGAGAGGTTGTGATTGTTCCAGCTAGAAACACATTTTTTTCAGTTTCAAATTTCATTTCAAATGTGGAGAGTAAAGGTTTCGTTAGTTTCTTCTTAAATGAAGGTTACTTGTACTTACTTAAATACTTCGAATATGCTATAAAACACAAGTTCACAAGCATATAGTTTTGGATGTTTCATAATCTTTAAAACGACTTTCTTTCCCTCTCCCTCTCAGGGCAGAGAGCTTGTTTGAGCGCCCTGCAGAGATGGCTGTGGACCTGCAATCTGGAGACTTTCTGGGACCTCTCCAGTACAGGATTTGGAGGAAAATGAGCTCAATTCTTCAGCCAGGTATAAAGATAACACACATCATGCAAACCAAGGTCAAGAGAACAATAGTGCTCATTAGTCATTAACTGCCTAGTCTGGAAAAAACACTGACGCAGCGCTTGTAGCCTCTAGTATCCTTCAAAAACCAAAACCACAGGCCCCAATACAACAAATCCAACTTCAAAGCCCCCGCAGAGCAACAGAAGGCCTTATACAACTGATTTCACAGACTCACTAATGCTTTTTATGACAAACAGTGGTGTGACATCAAAATTTCCTTTAAAAAGATTTGGCTGCGTCTAGAAAAGACATATTTGTGATTCAACTCATTGTTCAGTCTCGTTTCAGCCTGCTCTGACTGGCAGTGAGTTTCAAGCGTGACTCCATTTGTTCTCTGAATTTAACCTCTTTGTTAGTCGAGCGTACACATGCTTACTTTGGGTCTGTGATGACCTCAAACATCACTGCTGTAAAACCAGGCTGCTCTCCAGAAATTTATTTAATCTCTGGATACATCGGAGCCACGTTATTTATATTTAATTTGCGTCCATGTAGCTGATGCTCGTCTTACACTAATTGCGCAGGCTGGCATTCAGTATCTTGCTGAAGGTCACTCCAGAGGAGTTTGGGTGGTGTCAGTTCTTGTAAACATGTTTCACCTTCATTGGTTTGTCTCTGTTTTTCATGTCCTCCCAGCTGTGACACCTGTGACCCTTGACCCAGACACAGCCTACCCTTGTCTGTGGGTTTCCCCGTGTCGCACCAGCGTCCAGGTAGGAAAACTACAAGCGAACCTGCCCAACAACCCCGAGCGCTTCACCCGCTACAACATTGTCCTGGGCTCTGAAGCCTTCTCTTCAGGCAGACACTACTGGGAGGTCGAGGTAGGCTCTAAGACGGCGTGGGGACTGGGTGTGGCCACAGCTTCCGTCAACAGGAAAGATGAGATCAGCCTTTGCCCGGATGATGGTTTCTGGACGCTGGTGCTGAGGGACAGCGGAAACGGCACCAGCGAGTATGAAGCTTGCACTGACATAGAGGAGAACTTATTATATCCCTCCAAACCTCCGAAGAGAGTGGGGATATACCTGGACTACGGTCGTGGCCTAGTGTCGTTTTATGATGCTGGAGACATGAGCCACCTCTTCACATTCAATGATGCAAAATTCAAAGAGCCTGTTTTCCCCTACTTCAATCCCTGGCCGATCATCAACGGACACAACCGGGAGCCGCTCACCATAGTAACGCCACACTGGGGATAGATGGCCTTTTTTTCATCAGAGAACCAACACTGCGCATCAAACGGATTCAGGATCAAACTGCAGACTCTGCTGCTAATCACTTTAAGGGACTTGTCTCATTAGCATTCACACATCTGTCTTATTACAAGGACTTTTTAGGGGTATGACGACGGTCTTGTAAGGCTGTCAAGCTGTGGATGAAACATCAGAAGGACAAGAAAGGCGACACTTCAATCAATCTAGCTGCAAAGAAAGTACATGAAAAGATAATCAATGAACTGTTTAGCTAAAACCTAATCTGTTTGATCCATTATTCCTCTGTGTGCCACCGAGCTCCGTTGCTGTTTGACAAATACTGTTATAAACACAACCTGACACAGTCTTTTATTGTGGTGAGCACACACACTGGTTTTATTCTCAGTCAGTCGAATGCACATCTTCCTTCTGATGGATATATTCAGCAGTGCACCTAATGCATATTAATCTGCACCTAAACTAGTTCCAAACAGATGACTGTGTCTTCTTTTTGAGTAATTTTTGTTGAAACACAGACATTTAAAGAAAACATTTTTGACATTTTGTATTTTAATGTGAGTTTTTATAACTATGATATCAAAACATGGTTTGTTTTGGCTTTTTTAACTGGATTTTCTAGCAAAGTTTTTAATGCTTTTTGTATTTTTTTTTTAAAGTACTTTACAGAAAGCATATCTACTGCTATCATTCGGCACATTGTTTGTGTTTCATCTAACAATGCAATACCATTTTTTTTAAGGTATTCAGTTGTTTTATCTCAGTGCCATTGAAAACATAATGGGTAGCTTTTCAGCTCACAGCCTTACGCATACCAACACAACAGCACAGACATAAAGGCGGCGAGGCGTGATTGCGGGTCCGCTCAGGTGCGTCCGCCTCCCCTGCAGCGGCGCTGCAGACCACACCCCGCTACACATATTAACCAGGTAAAATACATATTTAGGCAGAATTTTGCAAATATCTATTTTTCATTTTTTAGCAGCATAGTGCTTTTTTTCCAATTATTTTTTTAAAAGTCTGGTCAAGGCTCCAAAAGCCCAAAGGCGATATAACAGTTTTTGTTTGCTACATGGATCATTTTAGTTCAGCTGGGTGTCTTTCCTTTTGTTATATTTCTTTAAGAGTTCAAAATGTGTTACTTACATAAATAAAATGTAATTTTCTCTGTAGCACTTCAAGGATTTCATAAGCAACACACCTTAGTTGTTCAAACAAGGCATAAAGGTAAAAAACAATATATACAGTGTTATCTTCATTTTAGATGTCAAAAAGTATTTGACATCTAAAATGTCAAATACCCAGTGTTTTCTTTTGCGTGGAAAACCAGGTCCAAATGGCTCTTTCGGTGTTAAAGGTTGCTGACCCCTGGTCTAGATAGCTGACATGAGAGTTTTAGGGTATAATTAACTTTGATTGCACATGTAGTACCAGCAGAGGGCAGCCAAAGCTAACTTCGAATGAAGCAACTTTAAAGCATTTTTGTGCAACATATGAATGCCACCCTCATGAAAATGCGACCCACTGGAAGCTGTTAGATGAAGATTTTAAAAATGATCAGCTCAGACAAATTAGAAATATGCTGCAAGTGGTAAAACATAAACTTAAATATCAAGAACTATCCACAGACTGTATAGGAAAGATGGTTGTCATCTGAAGGTGCCGGTATGAATGTGAGTCCGTTGCTTTTAAGAAGTGATGTGTTATAATGTGTAACTTTAAACACTGCCACTGAAATACAGTGCTGTGCAAAAGTCTTGAGCCACCCCTTGATTGTTTATATTTTTCTAGGAATTTGGGAATTTAATGAAGAAGAAGGAAAAACCAAGTTTATACAGTTCTAACAAGATTGAAAGTCAACTTATGTCATAAAAATCTTTATTTTCTAACACAGCCTGAACTGTAGTAGGCCAGCCTTGTTGTAATTTCTTAGTATTCAAAGTAGTATTCAGGAATAGTTCTCCAGGCTTCGTGAAGGACATTCAGAGCTCTTCTTCGGATGTTGACTGGATTTTTGTGTTGTTCTCTGTTGGGATGATCCCACACTGCTTCAGTTATATGCAGGTCAAGATGGGACTGCATGGTCGAACAAAATCTGACGTCTTCTGACTTTTCCATGTTTATCGTGCCATCAATTTTCACAAGATCTCTGAAACCTGAAAACCACGACAGAGCCAACGATGTGCTTTATGGGTGGCTGTAAACCAGAACGACAATTAATTTGACCAAGGGGCACCATGAGAAACTGGGACTGTTGTGGAGGGCTGCACCAGTGCAAAAGTACAGTTTCTCATGTGACCCACTTGGTAAAATGTTGCAGAAGTGTTCATGTCTGCTATAGATATTTACTGTTACCCTGCTCTCCTGATCTCCTCCGTACATATTGCTAACAATCATTTGAAGGTCCAGAAGCATCTCTCTGGTCCTGTGTCATCTGCATCTACAGTTCATCTGCTGTAGATGGTTTTTTGGCCCAATTTTCTCAATGTGTTTAAGGACAGTGATTCAGGCTTTTACACAGTGTTACATTCTTCAGTATTACATTATGATAAAAAAAAAAACGAACACTGAAACTTCAAAACATTAAAGCAAGGATGAAAACTCACTGGAGAAGAAAGCTAAATGAAATAAAAGTGAATGAATAAAAAGACAGTCAAGATAGTTTCTGATATAAAAACCTTTGTGGACTTTATTGTGATTATTTCTTTGTTGCTGATGATGCGTCAGAGAGATTTCATTTAACATGTATCACAATATAACACAACAACCCTCAACCAGTGGAAACAAACGTCATTTTTGACACAAGCTCAACAAAAGCTGAACATTTGAGTCACAACATTGTGTTAATCAGTTGATTACCTGTATCCTACCCGTGGTTGAGTTTGGTGTTTACCTGTCACAGATACGCTCTGTGTTCTTCTTTCACTCTGCAGTTAAGCATGGTTAATGAGTCCTCTCCTGCCAGTTGAGCAATTCGGTAATCTGTGACTACCATTACGACCAAATAAGTAATGAGAATTAGTCTGACCTGAATAAAACGTACCTGTTCTGCCTGTTTAATCTCTGTGTGTCATCTGCATACATTACTCACAGACTGCGGGACTGACCTGTCAGGGCTACGTACAGCCTTCAGTCGAACCCTTCTCTTCTCTAACTGTTCTGATCTGTAATTAGATATTATTACAGGCTGATCGACACGCAGTAACACAAGCCTTCACGTCTACATTATTGCTCAGCTGGCCCTCCCACTGCCATTCATCACATCTTTGAGTTTCTTTAAGGTCAGATAAGCCTGAGATGAAAGAAAATGAACAAACACACACACACACACACACACACACACACACACACCACACCACACACACACACACACACCACACACACACATTTTTTCCCTAACCTCTAATTTCTCTTTCCATCTCGTCCATTCATTCTTCATCTTTCCTCGATCAGATGACGGGTCTGTTCCCAAAATATGAGCCGCTATTTTTAACCCTCAGTCGTGTAACTTGGCTTTTCTGTAATGGATCTCTTTTCTGCCTCCACCCAAGAATTTGTCTCTCCATCTTATCAATAATCAATGAGGAGAGGGGCTAAAGAAAGACAGCCGAAAGACAGGGTTAAGATGATTAATGGAAACCTCATTAGGAACTGGAGAGAAGTGAAGCTATACATTATCAGCGCGTCTGGAGAACGCACACTATCGGAGGTTAACTGGAGATGCGAGGGGCAGAGCGGCGATGGAGGGAGCTTTCAGGGGAGGCAGTTAGGAACAAAATGAGGGGGGGGGGGGGGGGGGGAGTGAGATGCATCATCAGCTCAAAGCTGCTAGTGAAATGGACGGGGTTGATTGATGGGTTTATTTATAGAAAGATGATGCTTTTAGTGGAATTAGTTGCTTTAGAACACCAAAAGCTATGGAGTTGTTTCTAGCGAGCTGAAAAGCACAACATTACATGCTTATGAGAACATTCGTGTCTAAAAATAGGGGTCAGTGGTTACATGTTCACCTGTGCATGCACGTGTGTGGGCTCAGCCATGCTTGGTGGATGAGATTATGCGTGCAGGTTTCCCTGAGGTGATGTGTTATTGCTCACTGAAAGCCTTTCATCATCGTATGGCTGCTGAGGTTGGTTTTTTTTTTTGTTTGTTTTTTTGCAACTCTTCATCTCTTTCTATCTCTCACTGTTTCTAAATGAATAGCTGACCTGGGCACTGCAGAAAAACATCCAATTTGTTTTACAACAAAGGCTTCAAATGTGACAAGGGGATTGAGGGCAGATAGATTGGGAGAAAGAGACGAGAAGAAGGAGAAGCACAGGGAGCGACGAGGATTATTGTCAGGGGAAATGATGGTGATAAGAAAGAGAAAAAGATGGGGGGAAGAAGGATTCTGGGAAAAAGATTGAGATAAGATGGGAAAAGATGAGTGTAAACGACCGGGAAAACACGAGAGAATAACGAGATTACGGGAATTATAGGGAAGGAAAGGCAGGTTTTTATAAAGCCTGTGTTTGAGGTAGAGAACCCGGCAGAGAGGAGGGAAGTTTACCTGTGATGAAGGGGAAAAGGTGGAAAAAGGGGAGGAAGAGAAGGAGAGAGAGAGGTCAACGCACTACAGGTAGAAAACGCGAGGGAGCTAAAGTTCGGGAGGTATAGAGTGTCACCTAAATTATCTGGAGATAGCAAGTGGGGGCAGAGGTGCTGGAACTCAATCCCGGAGCCAAGACAGCAGCTGATGATAAAAACCTCCTCACCTGAGAGAGATGGACAGAAGCTTGATGAAACTCTGAGGAAAAGAACTGGAGGAAATACTTGGAAGGAAAGGAGGAAGCAGGAGAACATTTGAGCCGTAGCATTTTAACTCCTTTTGTGTTTCCCGGGACAAAGAGACAGCTGCAATCACTGCGTGAAGGGGACTGAATTTTTAACACATTTTTCAGAGTTTAAGAAAAGAAATCGGTCCAAGCTGACTTTTTTTTGTGGTGGGAGGGGAGTTTTATTACACTTAAGACATAAAGAGCTAGAGCAGAGGAGAGGAGAGCAGGGGAGAGGGAAGCGAGAGGGGGAGGGAGGGGAGGGCGAGCGACGAAGAGAGAGAGTGTGTGTGTTAGCCCGTGACACCAAGATGTTCATGATCATTCGAGAGCCGGCACCCGGGGGAGCCGCTGGAGCGATGAGCGCGCCATCAGAGAGGAGCGCAAAACAGGTGAGTGGGTGCAGATAGATATATATATAATTGTGTCTGTGTATGTGTGTGTGTGTGTGCATCCTTACATGCTGTGTGCCTATATCACATTTTATATTGTGCATGCTGAAGTTTTGTTTTGCCGAAAGAATGATAAGAGTCATTGATACAAAAGATGAACTGTTGATTTCTTGTGGAAAACACATGTTACCCATATGTGACAACTTATTAAAGTTTTAAAACAAACTGGATTACTGTAAATGGGTTAAAGGATTTCTATGTAATAGGTTAAAAATGATCTTTTTAAAAAGATTTTTGTAATGCATGCATTTCATAACATTTCGACTTCTGCAAGTTGTGTATTGTTCTTATTTTGGCATCTTCCTTACAAAGTATGTTCATGTCACATCTTCCTAGAGCAAATGTTATAAACTAAACATCTCACGTTTCAGGCAGTGAGCGCTGTGGCACTGTATTTCATCTACAGTCTCAGTAGTATCGGTCATGCTTTATATTGATATAAGTTTGAGTGCACTGTTCTACTCTCCTCC